TTTATATACAAGGTGTCCAGAAAGTTACTGTGGTCTACAACATAAAATCAATATTTATTGAGGGCTGAAACATAGCATTAATAAAACTATTAGTATTATTAAGAAAACTTTAATAAGAACATGTTAATATGCAACACATATTTACTTGCCACCTCTTTTATGTTTTCCGTAATTACTTTTTTTTCTAAGGCCTTTGTCGACAGCATGCATATCGTTATTTGTTTCAGTGGAAACATTTCCGAAACAAACTCTGTTTTTAACATGTAAGCAGATTGAAAAGTTCTTAGAATAAAAGTGGTGAATTCTTCGTGAATATTTTATTTTCAATGTTTGTTGCGAAAATTGATTGTAGGGAAACCTTACAAGACAAAGTAAAATAAATATATTTCGTATATACTTACATGAATAGGCCGATTTTACGAAAACAAGGTCAAATGATGAACGAATTTATCTACTCGCAAGCATAAAAAACCAACCTATCCGGCGGCATTTAAGCTAGCTCCTGTGGAGGTCTCTTGCTTGGGTCTTCATCATAATATGTAGAGAGGTTGCGATAGGCAACAATAAACTGCAGAAGAACTCAAAATCTATCGCTGCATTTAAGTATTGCATTAATATTTAGGCTGACCTTTTTAAAGTCCAACGATAATTCTTCTATCGCCACATAATTTAAAGACAATTTGATGTACGTAGGTCCTTACTTACAGACAATTATTTTTTTTTTATTTCAGAGGTGACTTTCGCTGGATTTCATAATTATTTTCCATTATTCCCAAATTTATTTCAAACTTATACAATTTCTTATTGTACAAAATTTCGTTGACAAAATATATATATATATATATATATATATATATAAATCGCCAAAAACAATCGCAGTAATGAAAAACTGGGAATACAAAATTTCACGATTGCGGGTCCGGATCCAGCCCAGAAATGTTTTTTATTTACTTACGGAGTCAACTTGATTCCAAAATGGTATGATAAGTTAGGCCACGGCCTCTAGGAATAATGGTGAAAAAAAATTGACACAGCGACACACTGACATTCGCATTTATTATATAGATGTTTTGATCTTTCTATCTGTCTATTTATTTATCTGTCTATCCCAGTATATTCAAATCTATTTCTTTTCTCTCTCTCTCTCTCTCTCTCTCTATATATATATATATATATATATATATATATATTTATATATTATATTTATATATATATTATATTATATTATAAATTAATTGATTTAAAATATGATTTTTTTCGCTACACAGTTCTGACCATGTTTCAAAAATGGAAGCTAAAAGCTCCGAATTTAATTTTGTAATTAAATTAAAGACATTAGTTCCATTTCATTCTCAAGCGAAAAAAAAATTCTTTCTTTTGTCTTTCGATTCATGACTGACTTGGTAGAAAATTTTCCCACAGTAAGGTGCCATTTCTTTCTGCTGTAGATTGGTTACTACCAAGGCTATAGGACCCAGTCTGTTCTGATGAGGGTCAAAGTAATGGATTCATACCTTTCCCAAGGGTATTTGCGCGTAAGTGAATGCAAGAAACCCGATTGGAAATCGAACTCCGCTCTCCGATGTCTCATTCCGATATCGATTAAACCACTCCACTCCACACCACACCACACCACACCATTAACGCTCTGACAACAATATTATTTTTGTCATCCTTTATACTGAGTGAATATTGCCTCAAAAATACTATAAAAAAAGCAAAGCATCCCCAAATCGTTATTTCAATGATCAAACCTAAGAATTTTGTTTTTCAAAGAATTTGAGAAGGTGAAAAGGTTGAGTAGCCTGTATTTTTCATTGTTCTATGCCATTTCTTTTTTTTTTTTTTTATTTGGCGCACATGCTAAAAGCACCAGTTGTTGTTCGATTAGCGGAATTAAGCAACGTCAAGACCAGTCAGTATTTAGATAGGCGACAACTTGAGAACACTGGGTAGTTGCTTCTTCTTTTTAAGTAATGAATTGGCATAAATTAATTAATGTGGGAAATATTTACGGAGATCTATCTATCTATCTATCTATCTATCTATCTATCTATCTATCTATCTATCTCAGTATATTTATTTCTTCCTTTCTATCTATCTCAGTCTATTTCTATCTCTCTATCTCTGTCTATTTCTATCTATCTATCTATCTATCTATCTATCTATCTATCTATCTATCTCAGTCTATTTCTATCTATTTCTATCTCTCTATCTCTGTCTATTTATATCTATCTATCTATCTATCTATCTATCTATCTATCTAACAATCCGAAATATATTTTGTTTTTAAATATCTCACTATATTTTGATAAGAAAAACAAATCTTCGGGCTGAGAACTTTTCAGTTTCGCTTCGTTTTGTTGTATTTTTTTCTTATGTGTGTACACCTAATAGATTCCTTTTTTTTCTTTATTTTGGCTTTTTAATCGGACCTTCTTTAAAAGCTATTAGCTTTATTTGTAGATAAGTAGATACATTATTTTACAGAGCACTCTAGGAAGTTTATGTTATCTACTTAGATAAGTGTGTGAAAGGATTGACCAATGTTTATTCCGATTCATTGGTGTTATTGAAACCATTTCAATATTTTTCAAGTAATGGCGCAACGTAATGATAAGCTGCTACGTAATACAAAACATAAATTCTGACAGAATTACACACTGAGGAAGCAATTAAAGAAGCTTTGTTGGCCAGTCTAGCCATTGGGAGTTACCCTTTTCATTTTTTTTTCTTTTCAAATAATGAATTGGCATTAATTTAGGATGTTATCTTAATAAATGCAGGACAAATATTTACGGAGATCTATCTATCTATCTATCTATCTATCTATCTATCTATCTATCTATCTATCTATCTATCTATCTATCTAAGCATGATCAATATCTATCTATCTATCTATCTATCTATCTATCTATCTATCTATCTATCTATCTATCTATCTAAGCATGATCAATATCTATCTATCTATCTATCTATCTATCTATCTATCTATCTATCTAAGCATGATCAATAATATCTATCATATCTATCTATCTATCTATCTATCTATCTATCTATCTATCTATCTATCTATCTAAGCATGATCAATATTCATCTATCTATCTATCTATCTATCCATCTATCTATCTATCTATCTATATCTATCTAAAGCATGATCAATATCTATCTATCTATCTATCTATCTATTCATCTATCTATCTATCTATCTATCTATCTAAGCATGATCAATATCTATATATCTAAGCATGATCAATATCTATCTATCTATCTATCTATCTATCTATCTATCTATCTATCTATCTATCTATCTAAGCATGATCAATATCTATCTATCTATCTATCTATCTATCTATCTATCTATCTATCTATCTACCGGATTAGATAGGTTCGCCTATAGGCAGGTTCATCTATCTTCGGTATTTTTAACAGGAGTAGAGGTTTATGCCTTACTGGGTTTCCAGTTTATTTTGAAGTATTTTCTTCTCTTTCACCAGTAGCTACAGTTGCGTCTGAGTAGCATTATCGCCTTGCTTGTGGTGAATTGATTAAAAATATCTATCTATCTATCTATCTATCTATCTATCTATCTATCTATCTATCTATTCCTTCCTGAAAAATATTTATGCGTATGTGAACGATTTCTGACATATGTATATGTACACCCATGCATACAGGTAAACAGATGAAAAGAAGTATACCTTAATCCGAATGTACAGAATGTATTTAACATTTAATTATTTAAATATTAACCAAAAAATAAAAATAAATAAATAAAATAAAAATAAAAATGAAAAAGTAATTAATATCATAGAATATTCTAGAATTTGAGGTAAATACTCTTTTCGAATCTAATTAACTCTGAAATCCTGTTGCCGAGAAAGAGCCACTCACCAAAATGCTTTGCAATCATAATTCACACACAGTGAGGGACAAAGAATCAGTCAATTATGTGTACACGCTTAGGCGATCATGCATCTTTCGATACATGACTGACGAGGCAGATTTTTTTCCTACAGTAGGTTGCCATTTCTTTTTACGGTAGACCTGACATCCGGTCTGTCCTGCTATTTACCCATCCTCTTCTAATATAGCTAGGGCTGGGAGAAAATGTGGTTTTATATCTTTCCCAAGGGTATTAGCTCGTAAGTGAATGTAATAGATCCGACTGGAATTCGAACTCGGCTCCGAGCCGCTATCCATTACTCCACCGCGCCTCCCACAAAGAATAAGGATGCTATTTTTTCTTCAAAGGCCTTTTTCAAACGCATGGTTGATCAACTAATTTCTTCTTTCGTCACTAAATATCATTTGAGAAAAACATTTCTTAACTTTGAAAGATACGACATGCTTTCTCCTATTTTCGTGTAAGCAATCTATTTTTGCACATGTTTTTCAATGACAGTGTTTTCGACACAAAATATAGAATATTTGATTGATTCGTTTTCTACGGCTTACCAGCTATTTGCAGATTATTTAAAGCCAGAACATATTTTTAGATGGTAAGAATGTTTGTATGTCTGGTTGGGGCAGGGGAGATAATAATCGACTTAAAACTTTGTCAATGTATTATTATTATTATTATTGTTATTATTTATTCAAACATTTTTTTTACTAAAGATGAAAAAGAACTATTTTCTTAGTTACTTAAAGATGACATTTCTGATCTACTTCCTTGGGAATTAAACAAAAGACCGTCATCATCTTTTCAAAACAATTGATACAAAGCATAATGATATAGTTTGATTGTTTTTGTTCAGCAGCATATCAACTTCTGGGTTATTTAATACTGAAATCTAAATATTTTGTGCGTAGTTTTTTTTTTTTTTTTTTTTTTTTAGATAATAATGATTTTACAAGTCTTGCTAATTAACCCATGGCTGGTGAGCGGGAGAAATTTTGGATTCATTTCCTTCTCAACAAACCCAACGGGAATTGAAACTCAGCTCTCCGATTAATATTTCCGAGCCATTATCCATTATAACACCCGCACATCCACGCTTACAGCACCTGATATTCTCAAGAGGTCATCCATCTGATTACTAACCAGTCTCGATGTTGCTTAACTTCGGTGATCGTATGAGAACCAATGTTTCCACTTTATATTGCCGTAAGCTAAAATAATTTTTAAACAGCATATTAGTAACGAAAATAGGAGAAAGTGTGTCGTATCTTTCAAAGTTAAGAAATGTTTTTCTCAAATGATATTTAGTGACGAAAGAAGGAATTAGTTGATCAACCATGCATTTGAAAAAGGCCTTTGAAGAAAAAATAGCATCCTTATTTTTTGTGGGAGGCGCGGTGGAGTAATGGATAGCGGCTCAGACTGAGGAATCGGAGAGCCGAGTTCGAATTCCAGTCGGATCTATTACATTCACTTACGAGCTAATACCCTTGGGGAAGATATGAGACCACATGACCATATTAGTAAGACTGTCAAAGGTAAAACGCAATTTCGTTCGGGTTATTTAGTCTAAATCCTTCAAGTCGCATTGGTATAGAGTCCAACGAAATATACCCTATGAAACAAATACACTGTATAGCAGAACTTACAGTGAGCAGAGAATTATTTACTATCATTCCAGTCATATATCATGTAACTCCTTATAAGAAACAGCTATAAATTGTCAAAGAATATTTAGAAAAATTAACAGCATTCAGTTGAAGATTCATTTGTTGAAGGTCATCGGTAGACTAGCGAGTTCATTTATATTTCACCATTAATTTAGTGTGTCAAACAGAAGTTCTTTGCATATTTCAACATTAATTTGATTTGTAATCATAATTTAATCTCTTCGTTTTCTTTTCCTTCTCCGTGCTGTCTCTCTTTAGGGCGCTGGTGATCATGGCTCGCCTAAATTTCCTGTCCTTTGTTGCACTTATATGTCTTCTTTTTTTTTTTATCTTTCCTAAACCTTGTTTCACCATTCATTTATTCAAGCTCGCTATGCGTTGTATTCCACTGTTCCTCTTGCCTGTCCTGGCAGTACCCAAAACCCTCTTTCCGCATTTAGTGCACTAGAAATTTAAACGGCCTCTTCCTGATGTTATACATACGTGTGCTTTTTATTTCTATTTTTATCTAAATATTTGTCGTTGCTCCAATATCTGGTCAATAGCACTCTCATCATCCTTCTGTAGAACCACATTTCTATTGTTTCAAGTTTCTTTTTCATTTTCCAGCATTCACTGTTATATAGGAGGACTGATATTAAGTAACAGTTCAGCACTCTTTTCTTTGTTTCTAACGTTTTTTTTCTGTTTGTTAATACTTTGCTTAACGTTATTACATCTTTTGCTATTCCAGCATGCCTTCTGATTTCACTGTCGCACGTCGTCTGTTAAAACCATTCCTCGTTCAATTACTACGTAATTAAAAATCATAAAAATACAAAGAACTTTGTATACATTTGCACTCTCTTTTTCTGCTAAGCCCTTAAATGTTTCACCTATGTACAGAAGAACACTATCGGACTGAGTCTAAAAATATGAGTTAGGAGACAAAGGAGACCCTCTCACAACGATAATGCTATGATTTAATTTTCATAATAAATAAATACAATTTTCCGAAAATACATATGGAAAAAGTGTACAATGAATTTTTTTATGGAAAATGTGTATTAGTAATTACAGGTATACATTGAATCAATAGCTTCATCTATCGCAAGGAAAGTTGGCTCTCTGTGTCGTGTCAGAAAGTTTTTTCTCGCCTGAGTCCATCCTTCAAATCTATAAATCAATCATTCGCCCTTGCATGAAATACTGCTGCCATATATGGTCTGGTGTTCCCGCTGTACATCTCGAGGTCCTTGACAAAATCCAGAGACGAATATGCAAGATGATAGGTCCTGATATGACGTCTAGTCTACAATCGCTATTTTTTTTTAAGCATTACGCCCCGAGCAAGGCGTGAAGCCACTAGGATGCAGAAGATTTGGAGCGAGAGCAGATAGGAGTGATAGAAGAAAGGATGAGGAGAAGGATAGTGGATAGATCAAGGTAACTGGAGATGTCGATTGACATTACATTTGAATAGTTGGAGATTATAGCTCTCAGGGAAACAGTAATTGGGAAGTGTGTTCCACAGGCGAGAGGTGCGAGGTATGAAGCTATTGGAGTAGAAGAGAAAGCTACATTTAAAAGTTTCTATAGTGCAAGGGTGGGAGCGGGTTGCCAGCCTCGTAGGGCGCTTGAATTCATGGAGTCTGGGAACCAGTGAAAGCAGCTCATCGGAGCAATTACCATGAAAGTATTTGTAGAAAAGACAGAGAGAGGCGAAGGCGCGTCTGTGAGAGAGTGACTGTAAACGAGACGCTAGATCAGGGCCAATTATATTACATATCCATCTCTGGATCTTGTCAAGAACTCCGAGGTAAACAGAAGGTGCCCAAGACCATATATGGCAGCAATACTCCATGCAAGGGCGAATGGTTGATTTATATATTTGAAGTATCGATTCCGGGGAGAAAAACTTCCTGGCGCGGCACAGGGAGCCAACTTTCCTCGCGGTGTAAGAAGCAATTGACTCAATGTATTTGTTCCATCTCAGGTCAGCAGTCAACATGAGACCGAGCAGACGCAGGGAGTTGCTCTCAAGAAGTTGACTATCAGACATTCTAATGGGGGGCAGGGCCCCCAGACTTGCTGTAGCCTCCCTCTGTCTCTTCTACAAATATTTTCACGGCAACTGTTCCGACAAGCTACTTTCGCTGGTTCCTGGAATACATGAATTTAAACGTGCTACCAGGCTGGCATCTCGATCCCACCCTTTCTCTTTTTCTCCCGTCTGTGGAACCCCCCTTCTCCCTACTTGCTTCCCCGATGATATAATCTTCAAATATTCAAGTGTAATGTCAATCGACATCTGACACCCTGAGCTTGTCCCCCGCCCTTCTCTGTATCCTTTCCTCAAACACTCCACTTTACTCTTGTTTTCAATCCTCTGTAACTCTTTACGTGCATAGTGAATTCCCTTAAAAATATATTACTGACAGTAGATAGCAAATGTAAAGAATTATATTCATTTATTTTAATTTTAAGTAATTTTTTGATATTTTAAAATAGTTTACTGTACAATTTACACATTAACAGATAGTTCAAAAGCACAATAGATCATTGCATGCAGTCCAGTGTATTAAAATCAAACGTTTGTGTTAACTCGATGATTGTTTGAATTTACCAATAATTGCTTCTGCATCCAATTCATCTAAGAATTCCTTTTCAATAGATAACAACATGTATGATTCCAAATTCTCTTCAGACAGCGAATTTCTTAAGATGGTCTTTATGATCTTTAGCTTTGAAAATGTTCTTTCGCATTAGACTTGAGTCGCTGTTTGCATGCAGATGGCTTTAGAAATTTCTTATTCCTTTTTATTACAAGTTGTCTGTGTTTGCTTCTTTATTGCATTTTTATTCAATATATATGAGACCCACTCCATCGGGCAAGCTGACACCCTGGGCAGTCCGCCACTGCAGAAAAATATTTCTTCAGGGTGCCCAGTATAAAACGGCAATTTTTTTTTCGAGAAAATACACTAGCTCTAATTGGTTCATCCTCAGTGGATCTCTAGAAGCCCAGATCTGAATGTTATGGAATCTGGACTATACTCCTAACTCACTTACAAAACCATGGCATCGTCGATATTAATTCATCGAAGTAGAACTGATGGAAAAGAGTTGGTTTTAAGTTTGACACTGCCGTCCCAAGTATAAGGAGGAAGATACGCACACCCGATCGTAAGATCAACTCAAGAACAAAAGAAAAAGGAAGAGAAAAGACCCACCTGCGAGATTGCTCGTTTTATATCAGGTCTAACTGGCCGAAATTTGCATACGTTACACGTCCGTGACTTATTAATAACACCCCCCAAGGACGCTTGTATTTTTATTGTTAACTTCCAGCACTGTGCAGGCGAAACGCGTTCGCGCTCGTTTCAGATTCTAAGGTAGGCCATTTTTTCTCTCCTTGTTCGTCCAGGAATTTCAATCCGCCAGGGACTGTGGCTACATTTGCGTAAGCGTCCACTATTCTGCTTACATATTACGCATGCCACTCGTTACCTCTTAGAACGGCGAATTGTAGTCAGTTCAGCAGAACCCGCAGACTACTGCCTTTCAGTTTCGCTACAGGAACTTAACGGAAGCTTGGAATGAAATTCCTTTTGACAATATCCGCAACGCCTCTTGGTTACAAATTTGCGTTGAACATTCAGGCAAACATTTCGAACATCTACGATGATTATTCAACTTGTGCATAAATCATGATAGCTAAATAAATTTCTGAAGTTACCTCTTTTTACTGGGCACCGTGTATATTGTTGTTATTCTATTTAGGCAACCGCTTCATGTTTCATCATTGCGTTTTTGTTTATCCTCCCATATATCATCTTTTTTACTTACTTGCGACGGCATATGGAAGGCAACGCACACACATTTAAAATTCACTTAGATTTAATATTTGAATTAAACCAAAATATAATTAAATATCACTTGTAATGTGTTTTGAAAGTAATCTCATGGAAGCCCAATTCTGCCAACGAAATTGATAAGAGGTGTGACAATTTATACTGAATGCGGAAGCTGGGCCAGATAGTAAGCAATTGCTGAGATTACCACGTAGGCATGGTATTCTGGCAATGATGGATTATCTTTGCCGAAGTCTTAGATATAAAAGAGAAATGGTGCGAAGACAGAAGAGGTCCGAAAGAATTTTGAACTGTCGATACGCTTCCCACATCCAGGTTCAATAGACAGGCTCTCGTGGAGGGGTGCTAAGCCAACGAGCTGGCATGCGTTCCCTTGAAATTCTTCATACCGTCGCCTCCCAGAATCGATGCTACTACGTCTGTCCCTCGAAAAAGAAATTGTATTTCGATGATACAATCTATGTAGTGGCACTCGGGCCTGAGTTGCTGAAGCCAGTGACGACACGGAACGCAACAGAATTTAATATCTGAAATAGCCCCTTGAAAGAAAACTTTGCTTACCAGGTCATTATTGGCTGCTGTTACCTTGACGGTAACATTCTTGGAACTCTTTTTCCGGAATAGCATTCAGTAGAGCAACCCAGGACTTATACTTCGATCAAACCACCCGCATGCGGATAGAAA